CCTGGAGTCCTCCAAAGAGTACGTCTCGGGGCGCTTGACGAGTGCATGCTCCAACTGTGATTTCAGACTTTGGACCATCTCCTCCTCGTTGAACTTCTCGATAGATGTAGAAGATTCTATGCCTCTGATCTGTTGCTGATAACTGATATCTGTTGTGAAGCCTCACGGTGTATCTGATTTGCACGTATAGCTGATTCCTGCGCGGCCGACTTCTCGCTTGCCATGTAGGATCTCATCAATGCAATCTCCCGCTTCTGCTCCATGATAGTTCCTTCAGCTTGCCTCATCTGTTGCATCATAATATTCGACTCCATGTCTTTCTTCTCCCCGTACTGAAATGCGTTCATTTCCACCTTGCGCATCTGTTGGGCTTCTTCCTCAAACTTGCGCCATGCCTCAGCCATGTGGTGTTGGTGGTGACTCACTAGATGTCCCGACTGCTTGCTGGCAATCTCGCATCGTCTTTCCAGCTCCTGGATCCGGATGGTGCTTCCATAGTCTTCTTGGTTAAGATTCGCCATTGCTGCCGACATCTCATCAAGTGTCTTCTGATATTCCCCGATCTCCACCTCCATCTTATTCTTCTCTTTGATCACGGCGCGAAAATCTGCACTGGTGGGTGATTTTGACCTCCCACCCTTCGATGTCGATCTCACGCCCTTCTGCGACGTCCGTGGTGTCGCAGGCGAAGATGATGATCTTCTCGGTGGGGATTCTCTTTTCTTCGACTCCTGATGAACATCGATCTGCTTCCATGATCTTGTGGGAGTAGATATGTCGCTGAATAGCGCGGAACCTCCGCTCCCAGGTTCATCCTGTGAATCTGCAACCATATCCATCACCGCAGGAAGAGCCATCAATCCATTGGATCCCTCTGAGCTGCTGTTCCCAAAAGTTGCAGTACTTGGGCTCGCCGAAGACGCCATTGTACTGTGTATGTTATCGTTCCTTTATTGTCCCTGTACCCGCAATAAACCAGCTGTCTCCCAGTCCAGTGTAGAGCTTGTAGTTACGGCTGATAACCTGTCAAGAGACGGCAAGGTGACGTCCCGTGGGACGCTGTGCACCGAACCCTCAAGCTTTAATACCAACCACGTAGAAAGGTGTATACGGACGATGCCGTTATAGCCGAACCCGTGTAAACGTTGTAAGGAAGAAGGAATGATAGTTACGACAGTGGTCCTGACGAATGCAGCGCAAGCAGTTGTTTTGCTCTTAATGCCCGTCACGTATGTGCGCAGTCACACATCAGATCTTGAACCTCAATTGTGTCTTGAGCCAAATGGCGATCAATGGAACTTGGGAAGCAACACCAACAAGGACCTCAGAACAGCTACCCAATTTCGGCACGGGGCCTAGAGGGTTTTAACACTTCGCATGCCCGAGGCTGAGCAATCCAAGTTAAAAAGGTTTATGGCTTAGAACCTGGCGGGCTCACCCACCTTAAAACCAAAGAAGAAACAACGCAAAGTGGGCCAACATCCTCTTTTGGCCTACCATGCATGCGCAGGGAAACCAAAGATGGCACAACAGCTGTGGCACAACACCCCATCAGTCGAAACAGGTCAGAAAAGGAGAAAAAGAAAAACAACAAACACCTTGCCACACATGTTGTAAGACTTGCTTGTGTCAGCACGGGACTGGAGCGCAATTGCATTTGTGTGGCATCGGTCTGTGCTCGTCAATGTGTGTTTGGCAACCAACGAATCATCAGAACATACCGGTACTGCTAAGCCAAAGCTCGGGCTTTTCAGCATCACCCTTAGAGCCGTCTGCGCCAGATTGTATTTACTGAAACAAACATACGATCATTCAGACTGTGACAATGCACATGAGCCTCACGCTGACAACGGACAACTCGCAGTGCAAAACAACACATGGTCCCCAGCTTCAGTGTTGAATTCGTCTGTGCTGTTTTTGTTCGGCGCCCAATGCCTTTCGGGCTGTTGGCCATCGGTCATTGATGACAACGCATGCTTAAGGAGCGGAAATTAAACCAAAAAGGCAAACCCCTAACCTAGCCTTGGGAACAGAGCCGGGCAGACGTGAAAAGGGGGCAACCCGCGGGCTGCCAAGCCGCTTGCCAGGCGGCAAGCTTGCCTCGTGTTTCCGGCGCATCAGGTTTCGGCCCTATTGCCAAAGCGTTTAGGCATCCACCATCATCCTTGGGCATTTAGCTGGCCACAGGCCTCAACGACCAGGGCTCACAGTTACAGTAGCACTTACCACAGAGTCTTCGTTGCTTAGATTTTCTGCGGCCGGTCGCTCGGCTTGCGGCTGGTCACCAAGCCTTGAAGCTCTTTGCGGTTTGCTCGCGGTCTCTTTCGCTCCGTCTCTTTGGGTCTTTCGGCTTTGCACGCGGTCATCGAGATATCAGCAAATATCATAGCGACAAATACACAGAGCAAAGAGGAAAAGGTTCTAGAACACAGCAACAAATCTGATGCGTGCCTTGGGTGATGCGCCGCAATCATCGCAGCGGGGATGTCCATGACAAGTCGCGTCCAACAGGGAAGAAAAACAAGCGTCGCGCCAAATATAATATGAAAACGCACAAAGTCATCACAAAGAAGCAAACCTGAAAAGTCTCTCGACTCTTTGACCCGAGAAAGTGTCAAGAAGACTGAAATATCACATGAACGCTGCTGCGATCGGCGTCCATTGTTCACACAAAACAACCAGGCTTCACTTCAAGCTGTGGCAAGCATGGTCAGTTCGATCTTACAACCCACACATTTTTCGATATGTCCATTTTTTTGGAAGTTGCGGTGCTTCAGCACTTACGCCTTAATGGTTGCCCTGGTCGCACTGGGCACCGTTCAGTCGAACAAGAATGTTCTCAATATGCAAGTTGTTTAAACAGTTGTTGGTTTTTCCCAATGGATCGAAGAGAAGATCTAAAATTCCACGAAACGTGTTAAACGTTATGCTCTCGTTGATGTCTTCTTATTTGATATATCACCTGTTCTTCCCAACCAGCTTACAAAGAATCGGGTCTTTGAAAGTCCAAAGTGGCCTTAACAGCTTTGCGGAGGTTAAGCGCCAGTCGCAGAAACAACAGAAGCAATTTTCATTGCAATCTTGGAACCTGGGAGAACCGGCACTAAAGGCTCACTTCGTGGACAGGCTTGATATTGTCGTGTTGTGGCACGATTGGGTCATTTTATGTCACTTTTTGCAAGCCACTAATCGAACATGTGCTGAAGATGTTTGTTGCTCAGCAAGAAACCAAGAAAACGAAAACGATAAGGAAAAAAAGAAAAAAAGGACAAGGAAAAAGAAGAAGGAAAAAAACATTTCGAAAGAACAGCATCGCCAGCTGGTGCTATCTTCCGCCAAAAACATCCTTCATATTAGGTTTGGCGCATCTAGTTGCTACCATTCTTCTGCTTGAAAGGTGTGCTTTTCCCGCTCGACTGGAGCAACTTGTCCCCCCCCAAGAGCGACTTTGTTTGCGCATTACGCTCGGTTGTTCAAAGGCTATGGCAAGCGTTTCACGAGAATATCCCACCCGTGGCTCGCAATCTCGCGGTGGAATGGTAGCCGGGCGCGGAGTTTCAAACGGCCTCAGTAAAGCTGCAACCGTTTAACGCAACGTCTAATTTAGAGGGTACGGAAACACGTCAACCAAGGTGCACTATTAAAAAGAAACGAGCAACGGTAGCAACCGTGCAATACGTCTAGTAGAAAGGTTGGAAAACCAACTTCTTAAAAACTTATATGCCACATATTCATATATATGTATATGTACACATACAGACATAAACAAAAACATTGTTTGCACATATACCAATGTAAGCACTGATATTCTTACGCTTCATATGTTTTTTAGCGCGCTCTGTTGCGGCATCACTTTCTTCCGCCACTGCCTTTTCTTGTTTCAGAAGGTTTGCAGAACCAGGCGCTTTATTTCGGCTTTGTAAAAAGTGCGGAAACACAAAAACGAATCACAGCCGGCAACCAAAAAATGGACTGGTCCAAGTCGCGTCATTCAGCAATTCCATGCGGTCAGCTTGATTTTCCGAGCTTCCAGTCGTGTTCAATGGCCTTCGACAAACTTCAAAACCGCCCAACTTTTGCGAATTAAGTTGCGTTGTTGTTCTAGGTGGAATGTTTGCTTTACAAGTGTGTTCCAGTTTCAAATGCTGAAAGTTTTCAAGTTCCATTGTACAACGGACGCACCGTCAGTGTGTTAGCTTTCAGCAAAAAAGGTGCTTTAAGTTTCGTGCTAGAATGGTCCTGGTCCTTTGCAACCTCCAAAAAGTCTGTTTAAGGCCCACTGCCATGGAACTGATGCGCATTAAGCCGCTTGAAATTGCACGTGTCCATATTGTTAAGGGACTGCCCTGGCTGAGTTTCCGACAATTAGTGCCAGCCAGCCCGCCACGCCTGCTCTTCCAAAACAAGTGCAAAACATGCAAATCTCAAGCCTGAAATTCATGCTTTTATCAAGACACGCAAAAATGACCCAAATGCCAATAACCATTCAAAATTGCTTTGTGCAACCCGCCCTTGGCAACACTAAAAATTAGACACGTTCCCGTCCTTTGTGTCAATCATACAGCATCCTCCCACTGAACAGCGCAAGCAGACGTCACTCCACTAAAACGCATAGAAGTAATGGCGCTGAACGAGCGCAAAGTGCCGCAACTGCTTTCGTGAACCACCACGCATGACGCGACGCGCAGTGCTTCCTTGCAAGCCTTTCCACGTCGCTTGCGCATCTACATGATGAAACACAAGCGTGCGTGCGTAGGTGTGCAGCCCATACTGTTTCCCGCGGCGCCATTCCTGGCGTCCGGACTCCGGAAGTTCGCCTTCCGCTGGGGTCTTATCGGCTTCTGCCATAGCCCGTATTGCGGTCGGCACTTCCAAGAGACGCTGGTTTCGGGTTGAGAGCACGTTTCTGTCAAGGTGTAGAACGATGTGCAAGACTTTGACATCAAGCTGTTGGAATGGCTCAAACTTAGAGCGCGGACAGGCTGGCGGGCCGCGGTTTTGCGTGCATCCAACATCATTTGGTTCGTATTTTCGGCAAAGAAGTACACCGCTTCTGGCACGGATCTGTAAATCACGGTATTTCTGCCAGAAGCCATGCTGGAATCTGATCTATACATCTTGCAGATAGCTAGACAAGCCCTCTGGATGCCACATTTGTTGTGGATCTGTTAGTTGCAAGGCCCAAATAGATCAACGCGCGTCCTACTTTACAGCGGCAGCTACGGAGTCGCTCCATGAATGGACAGCGCATCTCAAGACAGGACAATGTTTGCGCCGTGTCCGCATTCCCTGCAGGCAGCTAGTTGTCAAGACCAGCTTGAATTAGTTGTCCCCGCTGCGCGGGTGGACACAGGATGGAGATGCGCAGCGTCTTGGAAAAGCCGCCTCCATCGTCGATGCTTCCGTCATTGCCATAGTCATGCCCAGGTATCTCATCCCATACGAAAGGCATGGCGATGCATCCATCAGGCAAGGAAGTCCAAGGGTTGTCTTCCCCCCAACCGGTGTTGTTCAGTACCAGGACCTTGCCGTACAGGTTTGCTTTCTCGTCAGTCTCCACCACGTAGTAGCCACCCCAGGCGCGTTGTCCGCCCACATCGCCTGCCCAGCCGACAAAGAGGCGCCCATCTTTGGAGTCACCCCCACGCTGGAGATTGGCGTAGGCGAGTTTGCCGCCAACAAGGTAGTCGTTCTTCCCTGGGAGCCTGGTCACATTCATCCACTTGAAGGTGCAATCAGCTGTTCCATCCTCACACTGACGCACCTCCCCTGGCACAGACACCAACCCCGGTGTGACCCGGAGACCCTCCGTGGGATCAGGCCCCACTGCAATTCCAAGCCACCCATCCTTGTGCTCAATCATGTTGGTGGGGCCACCAGCATGCTCCCAATAAGAGGGAGGCCGCGGATAGGCGAATACCTGGGCCACATTCTTCTCACCCGTCTCTGGCATGGTCCCCCAGAACAGCGCGTCGCGCAGAGTCCCGTTCCCGTTCCAATGCCCGTCAGTCCAGCAGAATCTGGCCCAGCGGTTCAGGGACTCGGAGTAAGTAAGGCGGTTCGCTAAGACGTGGCCAGTTCCACAAGCCCAGCCCTGTGAAAGCTCTCGGTTCCATGTCCAGCTGCCACGATTGATGGCCAAGTGCACTGCTCCCTCATGACCCCCTAGTGTGGTCTTCAACTGCACCATGTAGATCGACTTGGACTTGTCCAGCACAGCTTCAAAGTGGCCGTACTTCCAGCCGCCAATGGCATGATTCACATGGACCTTGGCCGAAGGCTCTTGGCTCGTTGGGCCTTCCCACTCAAAGAGGTACATGCTGTCCGTGCCATCCTCGTTCCAACCGAATTGTCCTCCATGCTCCTGCTCCGTGGCTTTCAGGAAGTCATAGGCACCAACCTGCTCGGGCGTCTTCTCGGAACGGCACAGCACGGACACGATGCTGCAATCTGGGGACACGGATAAGCGTCCCATCTCTGCACAGTCGTCAAGCTCCTAACGGGGCTCACCGAAGGCAATCGCTCCCGACCATTTCTAGCAGAATGGCCAAGTGGTCCGGCCCACCACAAGAGTTGGGGCGCCGAAGTGGGAAGTCACAGAAAGAGGAGCCAACATCACAAGGCCCAAGCGAACAAGAGACGACATGTCTCAGCTCAACTACATTAAATAAATGGCCTAATAGCGCAGATCCCAAACATGTCGCACAACTGCTAGCAAGCTTTTCGACCGGCTCACGACTATTCAAACAAGAGCATTGACAGCGAAAGACATTCCAATGGAAACCTTAGACCTCAGATTGCATGCTTTCTGCAAGGCCACAACATCAATCTGGCAAAAGAGCAGAAATACCACACGAGCAAGCCCGTGGAAAATGGGAGCAGCCGCTTCGCCAACTCTTGCCACGTCAGCACTTCAGAAACAGAGGGGAGGGAGATTGACTAAGCCTGGAGGCCTGCTCGAAACATGCAAGCATGGGAGTTATCAAGACAGCAAACTCCTCAAAACCACAAGTCCCGGTCCACAAACTCAAACTCAGCAGAGGCGGTGTGCAGCAGGTTGAGGATGTTGTAGTATTGAAGCAAATTGTAAGCAGAGAGCAGGAGACAATAGCAAAAGCTGGCAAATGGGAAGGTCGCGCAAGTATGGGAGACAGTTCTGGACATTAACCCTGCAATAGCAGCATATCAAGACGCTTTCCTCTGCAAGACACAAACCTAAATCTACATACATAGCTACACTAATGTTAGGAGAGAGTCCTGTACCTGGCGAACTGTGATATTTGGAGATATCTTTGGCTAGTCCTTGTCACTGATGAGCTCAATGTGACTTTGGTGGTACCGGAATTCACTCACATGGCCCACAGTGATTTGTGTCGAGCCCTCCCAGGAGAGGTGCGCAGTCCATGCCAAGAGCAGCCGGTCCGAGCAGCTCTCCATGCTCATGCGCATCGGTGTCAGGCAGAAGCGATTGTTGCAGAAGTTCGAGGACCTCACAGTGAAGCCGGGGGTCTGCGCAAAGAATCGGCCCATGAGATGCTCACTGACAGTGACCCCCATGCAGCCTTCTGAGGGCGTACTGGACTCTTGACACAGTGGAATGGCCTCAGGTGACGGAGCTGATACTGGAGGCACGGCTGGAACTGGAAAGGGGCACGGCTTCTCCTCTGGCATTGCTGCAGTGCTGTTGTAAACCACGGTCCAATCATCACACTCAGCTTTTGTCACAGTCAGAGGCTCCCAGGCGCCATTCTGAAACTGCTCCAGAATCACTTCATCGGCAAAGTGGCCGGAACACATCTGCAGAAAGCGGACGTTTCGCACGTCCTGCGGACAGCTGCATTGCAAGCCAAACCAAAAGCCAGGCTCAGTCCTCAACTCGCCCGACTTCCATGTGCCAGACTTGTCTCTATACCAAGGCTGATAGGGATCTCCATCAAAAGCACTGCCACTGTCGAAAGGCGTGCAAATGGCATTGGGTTCTATGAGTGCTCCAGTACCTGTGGTCATCTGCAACCCATGAAGCACCCACATCCAGCCAGTGTTGGTGTTCACTGCCCGGATTCGCATTGCCCACTGGCCCGCCTGAATCGCAAAGCGATGGCTTGGAGCTTGGCGCATCGTCGGAGTCTCGTAGTCTGACAGCTGCAGCTGGGCGTTTGTCCAGGATGATCCATCGGTTGATGCCAGAATTGCCCACTGCATTGGATCACGTTGGCTGTGATCGTTGCCCGTGATAAAGCTGAACGCATCCACCTTCATAGGCTGGGGAAGCTGGACCACGAGGTCGGAGATGTTCTTGTCCAACCATTTCGTAGACACATCCTCGTCCAGCACCATGCCTGGCTCCTCCTCTGGAACAGACTCTCCCCCCGCCGCTGTCGCCGTTGCACCTGCAAGACTTATGGCCTTGCCTCCTTCATAGAGCTGCAGCTCAGAAAGAGCAACTGCGTCGGCAATACCATTGTGACGGAGCTGAATCGGTACAAACTTGAAGAATTGGAAGGCGCCCGATCCCGTTGTGGTCACCGTGGTGGAAGGAAGGCGCTTCATACAGATGTATCCAGCTGCCTCTGCTGTTGCTCCGACACCCTCTGGACGAATCCAAAGCTCGCATCTCCCAAGGCTGAACTCGAACCCTTGGCAATTCGTCTTGGCGCGACACTCTGAGGTGCAATTTTGGACGCTTCTGGTGCTCACAACCTCGTAGTAGGCCATGGAATTGTCCGTCGCTGATGCGCCACGACAAACCCTGCTTTCTCCACCATCAACGCCCACGAAATCTGGCAGCAAATGGAGACACATAAAGCCCTGCACTGGAGCTGATGCACCAATGCCTCCTGCACGTGTCCAAAGCTCGCATCGACCCATGCTGTACTCGATGCCACCACAACCACTGGTACCTAAACAACGATCTTGGCAGATTTTCAGGGAACTGGCTGACACCACCTGGTAGTGGCTCGGTGAGTTGTCGCCCCTGCTGGCTCCTCGACAGGCTCGACCAAATCCGCCATCCACGGGGAAGAAACCACGAGTCTGCGGCTCAACATAGCGCCAGCATTCAAATCCCGGCACCGCCGCAGTGGCCCCAACAGCCTGGATCCATAATTCACATCGGCCAGAGCTAAACTCAACGCCTTGGCATTTGGGCTCCTGGAGGCACTGCATCTGGCACTGGGCCAGGGTCGATGCCTGGGTTACCTTGTAGTTCTGGGGCAGGTTGTCTGAAACGTTTCTCCCACGGCAGGCACGGTTGAGACCACCATCGGCTGCAGCAAATGGGCTGCTTTGAATCGCAAGTGTAGTGGTACTGGTTGTGCTGGTTATGACACACTCGTAGATCGTTTCCCAGCTGTTGCTCTTCTGGCCTGTCAAAGTACACACGCAGTATAATGCAGTTGTCTGAGACCTCAACACTACACAAACTTTAAAGGAAAACAGACGAGACAGGGTCTGGGGATCAACTCATTCACAGGTGAACAAAACCCAAACCTGAGCTGGCCTGTCAAGTGGACGTGCTTCCAAATGCCTCCCTCCAAGCGCTCGATGCGAATCTCCTCCGCAGTTGCCCGTTCTGAAAGTATACGGACTTTGTTGACCACGTAAGAGTTGTTGCACCGGAGGCCCAAGTGAAAGTAATCCTCAGTCTGCTTTCTCCCACCCCAGTTTGATCCCTCATCACCATCGAAAGCTCTGCCTGGAACGTAGCGTCCATTGTCAGGGTTGCCGCTGCTCTCAGGCTGGCAATCTCTTATCCAGTCGCCCCAATCATAATCCACTAAACCCAATCTACCTGACTCAGTGAGGAGTTCCAGCTCATTCACGTCCCAGCACCAGCCACAGCTGCTGGTTGTTGCCCGAATGCGCCAGCCATTGCTTGGGCCCGCACATGGCGTTTGCACTTCCAACACCTGCGCATGGCCCTTCTGCAGAAGGCGCCGGGATGCCAACAGGGCAAGCCCCCCGCTGCACGTCTCTGCAGCTGCAAGAGAGATGAGGCATAGCAAGATCATCAAGCTGCGGGGCGATCCCATGGCTCATGTGAAGCCAGAAACGTGTTGACTAGATGGTCGTGGTGATTGGGCCTTGCCACGGGCTGGAACCTAATCCCGATGAAGGTTGTAAGTTGTAGGGAAACTCCAGCCGTTGCAGAGCTGAAAGCTGGCTGAAACCACAGCCTCATTAACAAGCACCATTGCAAAACTCCCAAAGCTACCATGCAAAGCTGCCCAATGTCACGGCGTGCCTGTTTTTTCCAGCCGGATTGCTTCAGAAGTGTGAACACCGACACTTCAGTGTCACTCTCAACCTGACTACAAAATAGAGCGCTTGCCAACCGCACCAGTTCGCCTGTTTTCATGCGTTTGCTGTTGATTCTTCGCAGTCAGTAGGCATGGGCCACCATCCTTGCAAGAAATCCAAGTTTGTATTTGCACCGCCCGCCAAGTTTTGCACAAACACGCGAAACCCCCGGAATCCTGGGGTTTTGTTGCTTCGCTAATACACCGCTGGCAGAAAGTTTACCGCTTCGCAACACAACTGGGCATCACCCGTGCAAAGCCAGGTCTCAACCTTGCAGTGTGTGCCGCATGCACACCAGTAGGTTGCCCGCAGAGCTTCCTACAACAACCCATGCTTTCGATTGTTTAACGCCTCACAGGTAATACACCTGGCGCTTGGTCGAACACGCTCTGTTGACCGGGGGCATTTGAGAAGGCTCCGCAGGGGGGTGCAGACACGGGGAAAGGACACGCACTGTCTTTCCCCCTGCACCCCCGAGCCTTGACTTCCAAGCAACGCCTTATGAAGAAAAAGAGCAAGCGCACCCTTTGTCGGTTGTTCTCTTTTGTCTCTTGATGCATGTTCCCTTACGGATTGAAGCAGTGATCAAGATTCTAACCAGCTCTTTGTAGCAGAGCGATTTGCCTCGCGAGCGGCTGAAGCGCAGATGTCTGGGCAACTTGGTTCCGAGCGCAGCAAGAATGCGCTCGATTGCCTTCGGAGACTTGCCATTCAGTCCAACAGTAGTTCGTTGCAGCAACGAGCGTTGACCACCCATGACTTGCTGCTCATGGCTCACGCGGGCAACCTACTGGTGTGCATGCGGCACACACTGCAAAGGTTGAGACCCGGGGCAGTGACTGCATGCGGCGGCATGCGATGTGCGGTACCTAAGGCACCGCAATACGCTGGCCTCTGGGACGCCAGCTGCGGCTGGGCCCTGGAGGATGTACCTGAGCTGTGACAGGGTGGGTGGGAGGGCGCAAAAAAGAGGGTTATACCCTAAAGCATGACCCTTAGGTGGCTTGAAGCAGGAAAACGGCCACGCGTCCGAAGATTCAATCAAGATTAAAACATCAGGGAAAATGAAAACCCTAAACGTTAGAATCTTGATCACTGCTTCAATCCGTAAGGGAACATGCATCAAGAGACAAAAGAGAACGACCGACAAAGGGTGCGCTTGCTCTTTTTCTTCATAAGGCGTTGCTTGGAAGTCAAGGCTCGGGGGTGCAGGGGGAAAGACAGTGCGTGTCCTTTCCCCGTGTCTGCACCCCCCTGCGCAGCCTTCTCAAACGCCCCCACTTCAGGGTTCCAAGCAAACGGCCTAATCTATTGCCCCCCTCTTCAGAGCGTTTGCGAAGCACTCTTATGCTCCGGCCGCCACGGTGCGTCGGGCGGATGCAATGACAGCGCGGATTTATGAGGCCAGAAATCATGCGGGCGAAATCGACAGCGAGCGCCGACTCCTACCTTACTTGGAGACGCCGCTCTCTCTTTCAAATGGATTCTATTCCACCTGGTAGGCTCCTGACACTCGTCCGTCCAGGAAACAACCTGCGAAGGATTTGAAATCTAAAATGCTGCGTGCAGGCGTGTGGCTGCAACATAGCGACCCCTAGATATGCTTGCAATTTGCCTCGTAGCTGCGTTTCTGCAAGGCGAGCTTAAAAAAAAAGAGGTCCAAACCAGCCAAGCCAGCCAGAAGCCAGCCAGAAGGCAGCCAAACCAGCCAGAAAGCCAGCCAGAAACCCAGCCAGAAAGCCAGCCAGAAAGTTTTGATAGCCAGAAGCCAGCCAAAAGCCAGCAAGAAAGCCAGAAGCCAGCCAGAAGCCAGCCAAACCAGCCAGAAAGCCAGCCAGAAGCCAGCCAAAAAGCCAGCCAAAAGCCAACCAGAAGCCAGCAAAACAGCCAGCCAAAAGCCAGCCAGAAAGCTAGCCAGAAGCCAAACCTTGTCTTTCTTCCCAGCCAGAAGCCAGCCAAAAAGCCAGCCAGCCAAAAAGCCAGCCAAAAGCCGAGCCAGCCAGGGTTCCTTTTGAGGGTGCTCGCCTTGCTCTCACACGCTTTCGTCTTGGGCAGATTGCGCCGGCCATTGGCGAACGCAACTGCCCTGTTCCATGTCCGATTGTACATTAACTGGATGACTATTGCATCCGCGAGAAAAAGGGTCCTTGGCCAGAGAGAGGGGGCAGACCAAACCAAAAAACGCAACACCACAACACAACACCGAAAAACCAAGAAAACCCTCAATTCTGGCCCCGGACGAGACGATAATAATTGATCCGATGCAGTTTCGCTCTAAAATCGAGATCTTCCGGCTCTGGGCACACTTTCCTACCCGGCAGGCTGAGATGCGTGCTCGTTGCCGGTTTCCCTTTCTGGGAAGAGAGATATTGATACAAGTCTGCTGAAGGAATGGCAGGGCCGGGCGGATCCGGAAGCCATTCGCTTTGAAATAGATGCCAAAATGGCTGGTGTTGCATTTTTCCTGCCCATACTTCCATGGGAGCAGATCCTGGCGAAGCACTTTCCCAAGTGTACTGATAGCATTTCGAAAAGACCATGCCTCAGCCCCAAGTGTGCGAGATGGCATCGCGTGGATGGTGTGCACCCCTGGGGTGAGATATAACTCATAACCCTTCTTAGGATCCGGCACTGGGATTTTGTCAAGAGACGGCAAGGTGACGTCCCGTGGGACGCTGTCCACCGAACCCTCCAGCTGTAAAGACCAACCACGTAGAAAGGTGTATACGGTCAAACCGTTATAGCCGAACCCGTGCAAATGTTGTAAGGGAGAAGGAATAATAGTTACAACAGTGGTCCTGACAAATGCAGCGCAGGCGAAGTGTTTTCCGCTCTCAATTGCCGATCACGTATGAACGCAGCTTCACATAAGATCTTGAACCTCACTTGTGACTTGAGCCAAATGGCAATCAATGGAACCCTGTCAGCAACACAAACACGGACCTCAGAACTGCTTCCCAATTTAGGCACGGGGCCAGGAGGGTTTTAACATCCCCCATTTGGGTCGCATTGTTCATCATGCGGTCCAAACACCACAAAACGTTCCACTGGCCACGGCTTCAGCTACGAAACTGTGTCGAACACTCTTTCACTCACTATTGCTACACCGTCCATTCATTGTGAAACTTGCCAGGTCCAATTAAGGCAGAAACATGCATCCGCAAATCGTAGCACATTCCTATACTCAGATGCAAGAGACATTTTGCCTCTAGCCAATACGCAACCACTTGAAATCCCGGCTGCCGCATTTGCGCATCGCGCAGCCGTCATCCACAGAAATGGGTTGCCCATAGAAATCCATAGCGGCGCACGGTCTTGTGCCATCTGAATACCATTGGCAAATAAGGTTTGGCGATCAATACATGCAAAACATAGCCATTCCAGGTACCATGAATAATATATATAATGGAAAAGAAATCATCCATGATGTAATAGTTCCATCCATGAATATCCGGAATGCCATAGTCGTCGGAATATGTAAATGTATACATATCCATTCATCTTGGACGTATGAAATCATATCATGATGTAGAGTCGTTCCATCGCAATGACGTTGATGAGACGCAAGCAGCAACAGATGGGGACTAGCCCACATCGTGCCGCAATCAACATCTGCATTACGCATACCTGTCTCCAATGAACAGTCTGTGGGTACGTCGACGGAACTCTTCGTCCAAATTCTTTTGGGCTTCTCGCGCCCGGACACACTTCTTGTGATGATCTTCTGGTATCCAATGCCCCATTCGGAGGCGCCAATCCAGCAGAGGTGTGTCGCATTTATTCGGGTCGGTGGCTGCAATAATGGCGCTCACATTGACCGAATAACAATATTTGCCAAGGTTCAAGCCATCCCTTACGAACGATATATATTTACAGTTGAAAGCCAGGGAAAAGCATTTGTAAATGATATCACCCACCGGGCGCACGCGATCCTTGACCAGGAGCTTCATTTCGTCCTTGGTGACGTCGAGGATTCTCGCTGCAATCCACAGCTTGTAGAATATGTATAGCCCCTCGCACTTGCATACCATCAGACGAATGTATTCATCACGCTCCTCAGCCGACCAGAAGGTCCTTGTCCGAACATTCTGAGATTGAGAAATCTTCAGTACCGTCGATGGCAAAAGGATCCCTTCCTGATCAATCTCCGTAATGTTGGGGTACTTCGCGAAGTCGTTGTGGTATGGGCAGCCTGGCTTCCCTTCGAGCGCGGCATCGACCGTTCTCTTTTCACCACCTTCGAACATCCCCCACATCTTTGACATCTGCAGTGCGATGAATCCCGCCATGTATTGAGCTTCGCGCGGCTCATCAAGGCAAATCGCCATCCGCTGGGTATTTATGATATCCCGCGATGTCAAGTCATTGTCGCGGTATTGCCAACCGCCATCTTCCTCCTCAGACATGTAGCCGGACGTGTATCCTTGCGTGTCCATGTCGTCTTCTTCAGGGACGTCCTCCGCCTCATCATCCTCTTCCTGTGCTGCCGCATCATGGTTGGCTTCGTCTTGCGCGCGCCTGGCATCATGCGAGACATTGGGCCTTTGGTTGCCCTCGTCGTCGTCGGAACTGATGTGGATGTAGAATCTCCCGGCAGAGATCAATTGCGCTCCACATTCCAGGCACACACAGAAGCATGTGGGAATCGCGGTCGCACATGACGGACATATCCGGCACCTCAGTCCTTCCCATGTCTCGTCATTCAGGATGACGACTTTGCTGATCTCGTCCCTGACCTCGTTGGTCTGCGCATCAAACTCCTCCAACTTGTTTTCCCGAAACAGTTTGCATGCACGATCAACCATGTCTTTGATGTAGTGCAGATTGTCGGCACCTGCCTCGGTCTCAGGCATCCTCTCGTTGTGAGGCC